GGTGATAGTTTATGTGGTCTGTTAGTATGCTTTCCACGTTTATCTTTCTCTAATGATCCACCATCTTTCAGTTTTCTTAATGCTGTAGTGATGCAAGTTTCTGAAACGTTATGGGTTTTCAAAAATATAGTTTTGCAAACACGTTGTTTTTCATTGCGAATGTAGAAGTAATATTCTCGAGAGTAATTTCTTCGAGACCGTTGTTCTGCAGTAATAGTTACTTGTTTTTTGGCAACCTGTCTCACATGACGAGCAATAAAATCCCACTTTCTCGTATGAACTTTTAACTTCCAAAATTCATTGAAAAAAAGGTCTCTATCTTCTTTAGCTATTTTGGTAGCACATTTTAGTCTACATGTGTTTGCGCATGGTGCACCCATCTGTCTTCATTTAATTTGAATACCTTTTCGATTTTCATGTTCAAGTCCCAGGTTTAGACTTGTTTTAGATTTTTCATCCGCCCACTTACTAACGTCTCTAATTATTTTCCTACTTACTCTCTCTATATTGCCTCCGCTTCTTCTCTTTCTATTTGTGGTTGCTTCAGTTATATTCTTATTAGGTTCAATTATTACTTCAGGGATGTTTTTGTCTTCTGTCGGAATGTAATCTGGGTCAGTATCAGAGTCTGCATGAAATGGTTCCTCATCGCTTTCCTTCTCAATTATTTCATTTTCATTCCTATCGGCTTCATTCTCTTCTAAGCTTACTAAAATTAAACAAAAATGAGGTAAATGCCTACGTAATATTTTTTCATGCGGAATTTAAACCAACCTGTAGAACATTCAGGATTAATATCAGTCTCGTGGTCACCAGGATCCTCATTCGCCTTTTTGTATTTGCTTTCTTCTACAATACTTTCAGCAATATGTTTACCTTAAAAAATAAGTAGGTTTTTACTTTGCTGTTATTATTTTAAATTAAGTTTATTATAAATTTACCTTCAAAAGAACGATAAGAAATATCCGTTTCAGTGTTTTTATACGCTTTCTCAGCTAACTCCAATATTAACTCACTTCTGGAACACATTATGGCAATTATAACAAAACTAAACTTTTGAACATAACCTTAAACTAACGCAGAATACCGTAGTAACTCATGTTACGATACCTATGCTATCGCCTCAGATAACAACAAAGACTATTGTAACTCAAGATACGATGATTTTCTACGGTTGTTTTTCATAAATCGCAGATACTATAAAACTCTTACACGTAATATTGGTTGCATATCTACGTTTACTGAGATACGAGTCTTTCCTGGGGAAGATATCATTATGTTTTATTGTTTTGCGCTCGTAACTCAAAAAGTGAAAATTTGAGTTACTAGTCTTCGTTGGACCAGTCGATTTGATGTTTAATTCATACTAATCGTAGCTCAACTAAAAATCTTCCGGAGTCCATATGAGGGGAGATATGCTCTTAAAGTAGAAGTATTAATCTTAGAAAACTCAATAAAGATACTAAATTATTATGAGATTTTCTGGTTTAAAATTTAGGAAATCTCATTTTTAAACAAAACTTAAAAATAGTTTGTAATAAGACAAAAATGTGCAAGTTCCCTATTGTCAAACTCTAACTTTATGGTCGGTGGAGATAATTCAAATTAAAAAAAATATGGTATGTACACAAGTTGATAATTGGTGATAATTAAGTGAGGTAACAAAAATTGATAATATTGATGTCAAAATAAATAAACATGCTCAACGTGATGACAATTGTCTATTACTTTACTATCTTAATAACAAAAACGCAATCGGTATGACTAGAAAAGCAAAAAGATTTATGATTATCAATTTTTATTTTATTTAAAATTTCCTTAATTAAAATTAAATTATATATATTATTTATATATTGCACACCTATATTAAAAGTGTAGTAACTCAAAAAACCACTTTTTCGACAAATTGAAAAAATCTAATCTACTCAATATAATAAACGATTTAAAAGCTTTTGTAAATCATATTGGAAGCACATTGGTTTACGAAGTATTTTGGTATCACATGAGTATTAATCTTGCATTTTTAATAGAAAAAATTCAGATTTTTTGACTTATTACACTTTCGAAAAATGAAAACCGTCATGACTTCAAAATTATTTTGAATTAATTCACTTTTATTGCAATTAAATTAAGATGCAACGCTTTTAATCTAAATTTGTCAATGTGAATCATAACACAAAACTGTAGTTTTTTAGTGAAATAGATAAGAAACTTTTAGAAAGAGTAATTATTAAAGTCATATTTTAATTTTAAAATTATTTTATTTATTTTAAACAAAGTATATTATACAAAAAATATTCCAAAACAGTCATTACTTTTACACAATGTTGACAAAAACATAAAAACTATCCACAATTGGAAAAAACTAAACTGAGATACAACAGAATATTGACAATAACATAATACAACATAAATACTAAAATAACATAAAAACAGCATATGCATAAATATTTATTCTTTTGCTGGCTCCAGGAATTATCAGAGTAAAAAATGATATCTATATTTTTACCTTCATTATGATTATCAGCTATTAAATTTTGTATATAAGCAAGTACATAGCTTCCAATTTCTGTTGCACCACGTTTACCTGCTGTTTCATCCAAAAAATACAGTTTCATCAAAGTTGAAACAGTTTATTCTGGATTTATAAAAGAATAATGACACTTGGCGTTTAGGAATAAGCATCACTGCTTGCAAATCGTATACAGCTACTTTAACATCAGTCCTATTTTGGTCGTTTTCTTTCTCTATTCTTGCCATTTGTTTTTCTCGTAGATGATTTTCATAATTTTCAAGTAACTTTTGTTTATCGTTTACTTCAGCAATTTTATAACTTTCACACAAATCACAGAGATCTTTCTTAGGAATATAAAAAGATATGTTAAATTCTGTGTGAAAGATACGATTAAAAGTTGTTTGGGAAGGAAATGGCAAGTTATCTTTTTCACGAGTAAATTTATAGTCTCTACACAAATCTGATAATGATTTGTCGGACTGTATGAATTCACGTGATGTCTGAGCTCTTAAATAATGTAACTCAATTCTCGGAATATCATTTATAAATTCTATAACACTATTTATAATATCAGAGCGAACAGTGGGGTGATTGTTATGTTTGCCTCCAAGTTCCTCTTGAACAATTCCAGAATTAGTTTTCTTAGTAAGCGCTGTATCTATTGGCCTGTCGTTCAAATCAAACCCGTATACTAGTACCGTTCACTTCAAAAAAATATGCCTTATTCAGTGCTCTTAAATTTTGGGTGCTAGAATATCTGTACTTAGGTTTGATTTCATCCATGTGTCATAAGATGTAATCTCTTTGACGTTGAAGATCAGCCATTTCCCAATAATTATTAAAAATGCGTTGCCTATCTTCGATATTAATATTATTATTACATCTCAAACGACATAATTCACCACAACCTTCACGAACCATTCTTCCTGAAATTTCTTTTTTTGACTTAGACATAGAAACGTATGCCTTACCTGAGTTTCGTAACTGTTTTGCTACATTCGTCTTAAAATTCTAAGGTTTTCTGACTTTTTTTTTCCTTTCTTTTCTCCATTATCTCCAATATTCGAAACTGTAGACTCAGATGCACTATTGGAGCTGTCAGAACTAGTCGAAGAACTGCTGCTTCTACTGGATGAAGAATTATTAGTTGTAGGATTTAATCTGTTTGAGAATAATTTGTCTGGAGAGACATCAAAATTTGGATTAGTATCGGAATCATCTATATCGCTTTCGTTATTTCGAATGGGAGATATGTAATAATTTTTTCTCTGATCCATATTAACAATATTAGAAGTACTTGGTAGACATAAATGATTATTGGTGTTTTCGTTGGAAATGGTTGGAGTTTCATTTAAATATATGCTATTCTCGGGTAGTAAATTTTCATTTCCAGGCATAAAAGAAGGCTTATCATGTTGACGACTATATTGATTAGATTCACTTGAATTGAATTCTAAAGAATTTGTGGTGTCATGCAAAGGAATACTTTGAATTGATGAAATGTTGGAAGAATCTTTACTTATGTTCTTATTTTCATGCTTTTGTAAAGCCATGTCAACAAATAAACGGCCACGGCTCGGAATTATACTGAAACAATAACGATAAATAAACTAAACCGTCAAAAGTGAAGCAACTCAAAAATATCTTTTTATTAATTTGAAATAAAAATTTAATATTCCAAAATCTATAAAATAAAAATAAATCTCTTATAGTTAATATAAAATATTCAAAATTATCCCAAATATCAAGAACTAACTAAATTAACGTTACAAAATGAATTCACCATTAAAACCGATTTAACCCTAAATTCAAAAAATAGTTCATTAAATCTGTAGCACAACAAAATAAACTTTAAACAAATTAAAATTTAAGCAACAAAACTGCTACAATTCAAAATGCTGCTGTAAAAATATCTGAGTACATCAGCTAAATTGTATTAAATCTAAATAATTATTGTAGTTTTATCAAGTTTACTCACCAAAACCGTTGCAACTCAAAATGCCACACTGTGAAACCGTACACTCAGTACGAAAGTCGGAGCGTAACTAAAAATGGCGCGGTTTTATTATGAGGGCGAACGAGTGATTATTCAGCAAAACCGACTTACACCGCCATCTGTGACACACTAGGAAGAATACAATTACTGCAGTTTTATTGGCGAATAGGTAATTATTCGAGGAATTCAAATATGACCATAACTCAAATACTCACATTTTTGAGTTGCTACACTTTTCATGCTGGTGTGCGATATATTATATATATTATTTATATATATATTCAATTATATATATATATATATATATATATATATATATATATATAAATTCAATTTAAAAACAATAAAATAATACTATTTTTTTCTTTTAAAGCCCGCCAATTTAAATTTAAAAAAGTTGTTTTATGCAGCAATACAGTTTTGGACAGTTATACGATAAATACAATGTAAAACATTTTGATATCTACTTAATGTATAAACATTTTTCAGGAATAAACTTATAGCGTCTAATCCTGACGTAACAAATTCTCCCAAAAACAACAAAGCGAAAAATTTCAAAATCCGTAACGTATCTAATCAAACCTCTCATCCCGAGCCCAAACACAATAAAAAAAATAAACAGCTTAATAAGTCAGTCACCTTCAGCTTCGTTAAAACGTACCATCCTGTAGAAACACCTCCGGACACCCCAAATATTCGCAGACTTTTACCCGTTCCTGTTAGCTGCACTAGTTCCATCGGAGAAAACGACTCCGAACCGTGCACAAACCCCGAAATTAAAAGCGCTCGAGGAGTTTTCAGTGGTGACGGATGTAGTGACGTGTTTGAAAGTTTTCAAGAAACTTTCAGCACGCATTTTCCAGATTGTAGTTGTGAAAATGAAGTTTTTTTAAAAGAAAAGTTTCTCAAATATGAATCTAAAGATAGTTCCACTACTGAAAATAAAACTCCTATCCCCGATATTGAAAACCCCGCTTCTGATTTATTTCCATATGTAAATAATAAAAGGCGTTCAAGTATATTAACTAAAACTGCAGCTATAGACAAAAGCAGCGATAACTCTGATCTTTCCACTAACGATGAATTTTCAGATAATAATACTCCAAATAATGCTATATCTCCACCCCTAGTACCTTCTTCATTATTTAAAATGTGTAGTGTAGATAACAATAGTAGTGCTAGCCAACCTTCTAATGATACCAAAATTATTAGTACCGAATACGGCTATAGAACTATGAACTCCAGAGGTGCTAGGGAAAGAGACCATGAACATAGGGAACCCATAGAGCCTCTTGACCCGCATCACAACTATCATTTAAATCACAACCAGCATCACCATCACCACCACCATCATCACCACCACAGAGAGAGTAGCGTCAAGAGAGGACAGTTTACAAGGAGTTTATCGAACACCGAACCACCAGTAGAAGAAAAAACCGGTAAGATTTTTTTAAATATGTATAAATATGTTTAAAATGTTTATTCTTAGTTTTCTGTATGTATATATATAAATATATATATATATATATATATATATATATATATATATATATATATATATATATATATGTACATATATATATATATATATATATATATATATATATATATATATATATTGTTATGCTATTTAAATTGTATTCTATTGCTTATTTAGAAAAGATCCTGTCTATATTTATTAAATGATCTAATCTCCAATTAATCACAATAAATCAGCATTAATTAATTACAATCTCAGGCTATTTAACTTGTACTATTTACCTTTGATCGTGGATTCAAAATATTTTCCAATTGGCTTCCTAATTGGGATAGGTAATATGACCTGAATAAAATACACAGAATTTCAACTGAACTATATGTGAGATGTCCTTTATTTTAATGAAATTTTATATAACAATCAATGCTGTAATATTTGCAATATAATACTTTAAATATATGAGAAGTTGTTTTCTATCATGGACCCAAATGTTATTTTACATTGATTTTTAATATGTGTTATAACTAAGCTCTCTTTATAATTTTTTTCTTTAAATGATCGCAAAATTAACTGTCTCTATTATTTATTCAATTTTTTTAATTAATAAATGAAAACCACACTCCTGCTCTAATGAAAATTGACTGACCTTTCGTTCTCTGCCGTTGTAATTCTATGGCCACGCCATAAAAAAAACCTTTCTCTGCTTCTGCTCCTATTGTGGTCCAGATGACGTACACCTTTCTCCTATCTGTCCTTGTATCTGCAACCCAACAACTCGTGTAATTCTATGCAGCCTCCTTTTGAGCGAATCTCCGCGCCTGTTTATAACTTCAAATGTTTCCGTTTTCGTCTGATATTAATATTCTTATACCCTTTGGTTTTTCTATCTCTCTGTACCCCGTTCCTCACACTGATCAGCTTTTACACAGCAAATAAACACACCCGGTAAACTACGTCTTCGGGACTTCAAACAAACACAAACCACAAAGCTCCTTCCTTCTTGGGCGACGAAAACTGACTAACTAACTTTTTTTCCTCTCTCCTATCTCATAGCCACAACCACTACCTCCTTGCATTCAAAAATTGACCAATAAAAATCATCCACCTCTGTGACGTATATCGTGACCAACCAACTCTCTTTATAAAACGTCATTCGGGTAATTCCAGAAAACAACATTCTTTAATTATTCTAACTAAATCTATCTGCTTTACAAATATTTCTTACTAATAGCTACAAACGATACCTGTTTCTCAATTCAATGTCTTTTGTTAATAAACTTTTACCGATATAATCTTTCGGGGAGAAAAACCACCGCAAATCCCTGTCTATTGTTTAAACACTGTCGATATACACTTTTATTCCGGGTAAATCCATTCCACAATAACCGACTTATTTAAATTTCTTATCGATAATATTTGAAAGTCTTGTCTCTGAGGCCTAATGAACAATTCTTCGAACAACTTAAAATACATATTTTATCTTATACAGGATGTTTGAAAATTTATATGCCCGTGTCTTTATGAAATATCAATAATTTTAATTTTTATTTAAGTAATAAAATTTGTATATCGGTTTTTTATTGCTAATGGACATTCAAAAGTACAACAATATATATATATATATATATATATATATATATATATATATATATATATATATATATATAGCGAGTGTTTGCAACTTTAATTTTGTCGCTTCTCGCATCCCAATCGCCATAATCTCTTATCGGCCCAGTCTCCTTCTTGAAGGCCTCTATTTTCCATTTCTATATGAATATTGGATATCCATTTCTTTCTTGGCCTTCCCCTTTTATTTTTTTGTGTAGGTCTCCAGTTCCAAACCTTTCGTGGTATCCTTTCTTCGTTCATCCGTCTCAGGTGTCCATACCATTTTAATTGTTTTTCGGCTATCGTATCCATTATTGTGTTCTTTACTTTCATTCTCTCTCTTATGTTTTCATTTCTTATGTGGTCAAACAAAGTTAACCCGGAACATCTTCTCCAGTACATCATTTCCGTTGAGAGGAGTTTTTGTGACATATTCTTGTTAAAGACCCACACTTCTGACCCATACGTCAGCACCGGCTGAATCATAGCCTGATATATATTTTTCTTTGTTTTCTTAGTTAAAGTTTTATTCCACAGGATCGGATGTAGTGTTTTTATCATGTTTTTTCCTTTTGCTATTTTTCTTGTTACATCTTTGTCGTCTCTCCCGTCTTCGCTTAGTGCAACTCCGAGATATTCGTACTGATCAACGTTTTTAATTAATCCGCTTTCTGTTTCCATGTCTTGACCGATGCCTCCTATATTCATGTATTGTGTCTTTTCGGTATTAACGTCTAATTCATTTTTTGAATTCGTCTATTATAGTTTGTTTATCATGTACGTCATATCTTGTAGGTCCTCGGCAAGAACTACCTGGTCGTTTGCGAAGAGTATTGTGTATATAGGAGTGTCATTTACCCCTATGCCCATTGGGCTGCATTTTCTCATCTAATATTTTCAAGCATTAAAAAGATATATTTTAAATAAGGTTGGGGAGAGGCAAGAGCCCTGTTTGACACCCTTTGTTTGGGTGAAACCCTTGGAAGTTTGGTTTCCAACCTTGATATAAGCTTGGTTATCTTGATATAGCTTTTTCACGGCATTTATATATACTGCATTTATACCTGCGTTTTCCAATGTTGTTCATAGTCTCTGCAGTGGTACGGAGTCAAACGATTTACGGAGATCTATAAAAGTGGCATGAAGTTCTAGTCCTCTTGCTAATCTCTTTTCCGTTAGATGTTTGAGAGTAAATACATTGTCGACACAAGATCTCCCTGGTCGGAATCCACTTTGTTCTTCGATATCTGTGGCTTCTTTTTCTATTCTAGCTTTCAGAACTCTTTCATACAGTTTTCCAGTGGAAGACGTAATGCTGATACCTCGGTAATTACTGCAGTCATTCATGTTTCCCTTTTTGTAGATGGAGTTTATGTACGAGACTTTCCAATCTCTTGGGATACTTTCTCCTTGTAGGCACTTGTTAAACATTTCACAAAGCAATTCTAATGTTATTGCAGTGGCATGTTTGAATAACTCGATAGGTAAATCACCCGGCCCAGGAGCTTTATTATTTTTCATTTTTTGTAATGCGTTTTTTATTTCTTCTACGGTGATCATCGCTACTTCATTTAACCCCGTTTCAACTCTATCTATCTGTGTGTCTAGAAACTGTGTACGTTGTTTATTTAATAGATTTTCATAATAATTTTTCCATCTTTCTATGTCTATGGCGTTTATTTTTTTTTTTTTGTTTCGTTTGTATTTTTTCTAAGACTGTTGATAGTTTTCCAAGCTTGTTTGGACCTAGATCCTCCTACCATTGAGCTTATTTCTGCACACTTGTTGTCCCAGGTTATGTTTTTTTGTTTTTTTAAATTTTATTTTTCACTATATATTTGTATCTGTTATAGTTCTTTCGGTCTTCCTCATCTTTTGTCGCTAACCATTTGAGATACAGTTTTTTCTTTTCTTCTACCAGTTCTAATAAACTTTCTGTCCACCAATAATTTCTACGTTTTACTTTTTCTTTCGTACCTAGAGCTTCTAATGCTGGTTCATGAATTTTGATTTTCAAAGTCTCATACATTTCTTCCGCTGTTCCGTTTATTTCTTCGTCTAATTTTTGTGCCATATGTATTTTTTTTTTACTTAATTAGATGGCTTTGGTAAAGACCAATTAGCCAGACTATTTTTTTTTAACTATAATAATTTAAAAAAGAAAACTTAAAAAGAAAACTCATCCTTCTTCACAATAACAATGCTTAAAGTATTAGTAGTGCTTAAAGTTAAGTGTGGGCAGTGTAATTTGTTTTTTTTTTTCTGTGTAGAATTTAGTTTTGTTTTTAAATATATATATTTTTATTTTCTTTTTTTTTGTTGCTTTTTTTTTTGTTTGTTTTTTTTTATATGAACTATTTTTTTTTTTTTTAATTTTTTTTTCTTTTTTTTTTAATTTTTTCGTCGCCCACTTACAAAATCTAACTAGTTGCAGGATTGCTAACAAAGAGGTGGTTAGTAATTTACAATTTCATTTTGCACCGTTTGATGTGATTATATAAGGAGTACAATATATTAATATTCTTATTGAAAATTATACAATTTAAATTTATAGGTAAGCAAGTTTTGTTTGCCATATGTAGTTTATAAAGAAAACTTGTGGACTCATTTTTTAAGCTGTCAATGTTATAGAGCCGTGTGGATTCTTTGTTTGTCTGTTCTTGGGATTTATTTTGTTTAATATATCTTATTTCCACGGGTGCCTTTACTAGTAGGTGATCCGATCCACATTCTGCCCCTCTCCAAACTTTTACATCGTAGGGTCTTAAAGATGTCTCTTGTTTAACTACTATATAGTCTATAATTGACTGCAGTTTTCTTGTCTTTTGAATCCATGTATATTTATTTATGTCTCTTTGTTTGTAAAATCCATTCAGTATTTTTAACGAATGTTGTTACGCATATTTTTAACGCATACCTCCAACCATCTTGTTCCGTTCTCATTTACTACATCTTCTCCGTGTTGTCCAATTATTTTGTTGTCAAGAGCTTTACCTACTCTTCCGTTCAGGTCCCCTAGCAGGACTATTTCTTGCCTTTTTTTTTATTTTATCTAACTCTTCTGAGAGTTTGTCGAAGAACATGTCTTTAGTGTTTGTATCTGAGTCGTCCGTGGGTGCATAGATGCCAATTATTTTTATGTCTCTCCCCTTTGTTGTAAGGTCTACTGTTATAATTCTTTCGTCTATCGGGTTCCAGTTGGTAATACATTTTTCCATGTTTTTTCTTATCACGACCGCTACTCCAGCTTTGGCTCTTTTTGATTTTTCTACTCCGCTCCAGAAGTATATATAATCGTCTTTGTAGTGGTTCCCCTGTCCTTTCTTTTTTGTTTCGCTGAGTACTGCGATGTCA